GAAATGTAATAGAAGAGAATAGGTAAAATGTAGAGGCATGTAGTGTTCTGGAATATTCCACCACCTGTCCCCCCTTTCACCACCAGGGTGGAAAGGCCTAAACACCCAGACAGACGTCCGCAGGATATTTTCCTTTTGCTCTTTCCTTGAGTGGCTCTGAGGGCCTCAAACTTCCTCTTCAGGGTTATCATACACTTAGAATCATATAAATTCATCTTCGCTGGTGAGTTTCAGCAGTTTCAAGGGAAAATCAGACTATGTGAGTCTACCTGAGACTGGCTTCTTAAAGCCTCTGCTCTTCTATGAAGTGAGCACTCAGGCAAGTGCCTCTTCCTTCGGTCTCAAGGCCTTGCAGTATTTTTTCCTGCCTTGGAATTGCATCCCTTCCTCTCAATCAGGCAAACTCCTACTTAACCTTTTGCCTTGCATTTTGTTCACTCCCCTTTCAGAGAAGCCTTCTCTAACCCTTAAATCAGGCCAGATCCCCCTACTCCCCCTGAATTCTCTTGGCACCCTGTGCCTTTACATCAAGAAACTTGTCAGTGCAGCAAATTTTCCTCTATTGTTTGATTAAAGCTTCATATCCCATTAAACTGTGGGCTCCAGCGAGGGCTGGCACCTGCTGGGTACCACTGCTGGCGCAGCCTGGCACACTGCAGGCATTCCACAAATTCTTGGCGGATGAATGAGCCACATCACTTTCTCTGAAAGTCTCCGGACCAGTTATTTCCTCTCCTTGGGACCTGCATCCTTCCTCTGAAAAATGAGGGGGTTAGATTTCACGGTTCCTAAGTTGCTACAAGCTGCCCAATGCCCAGTGAGAAGCCCCAGAATTTGGCAAATGGGAGAGATAACCCTTAACTCTCCGTGAGGGCCCGGGGAACCAAGGCTCATGTGCAGTCCCTGAGAAGCAGTCAATGACTATCGTGATTGATTCTCCAGCAGACCTTTCCCTGGAGCTGCTCGCACATGGCAAGCAAACTGTCCCCACCCCTCCCTCTGACTGCTGTCATCTAGTGGGGCTAATGAGGGATGGAAAAAAAAAAATGAGCAGAAGCAAAGAACTGAAGTTCCAGGTCCTGGATAATTGAAAGCCAACGGCCTTTGGTAATTCTCAGGATGGTTCACAAACTGTTATTGAAGGAGACACTGGGATTCATGGAACATGGTCCCCGCCTTCAAAAGTCCGGTAGAGGAGAAAGACAGAGAACATAGAGTCCAATACAGCTCCTCCCTCCCTCCCCCCTCCCTCCCTCCCTCCACTCACCCACCCACCCACCCACATGTCTGTCTTTGGAGAGCTACTCTGAACAGAGTATGGGGGCTGAGGATCCTGGATCTTAAATTGTAGCCAGGATGTGGCAGCCTAGAATGTTTTCAGTAAGATGAATTATGGAAAATATTTTTCTGACGTTTCAAAAAGTTTGTCTCTCCCCAAAGCCATCTCTGATCACCAGGAGTTGAAAATTGTTAGAAGTTGGGAGGCAGAGAAGGCTGTGGCTGGAGCTCTGGAGTCCAGTTTGGACTTTGGCTGACTGACTCTGGCAAACCAGCATTTACTTCAGATTCCTGCGCCTCACTTCTCGTTGCCTCCAAGGCCTGCATGCCTGAGTCACAATGATTAGGTTTGAAATCAGACAATGCATGGGACGAGCCAACTGTCTGTCTTCCTCTGCGCTCGCCCAGTGTCTGGTGGGTACAGGCTAGATGGGCTTTTGGGAATTCTTATATACACGCCTCACCTTTACTGGACCAGATTAGGCAGGAGCTGGGTTTTGGTCATTTTGGCAATCTAGACAGACTAGGCCGAGCCTGGCACAGGGGGTGCCCTCCAAAGCTCTTGCCCATAAATCGTTGTGTATGAGTTTCTATCCCCACAAGGATTAAGAAAACACCCCGTCCTGTGGCTTGGGCTGGGCAGTGATGGTGGTGTCACTGCAGGAGAGGCAGGGCACCTGGGTGTGTTGGTCAGGTCCTGGCCTGATGGTGAGAGGTGGCTCCCAGCCTCCACCAGCTGCTAGCTGAGGAACCCAGTGCCAGTCTCTGTGAGCCTCAGTTTTGTGCTCACAGGGAGGAGGCCATTTCTCACTCATAGGGTTGTCTTAAGTTGAAATGACTTAATAGCTTTGCTGAGAAGAATGCTGAGCACATGGCATCTAGAAATAAATAGAAACTCTCCGTAGTAGTAGTTCTGGGGTTTTCCATATGGCCAAACATCAAGGCATATGTCTGACAATGTCTGGCTCAAGGATTGTGACTCATTTTTAGGAAAAGAGGAATGAATTTTTCAGCCTTTTATGGGACAGGTCTCTCCGGGAATGGCTCCATGATTGTTTGGACCCAGGGACTGAGTTCACTTGGCTTGGGAAGGACTCCTTATCTTTATGTCTAACCTCAGGGCCAGGGTGGTCAAATACTTGGCACCCAAGTCATGAGCCTCTAGAAGCTTCAGTCAGAGGGACTGGTCAGGGGAGATGCCTAAATCCTCCAGAGGAAATTCACCTGGAGTTGCTCCCCACAAGTCCACCCCCTCCCGACACGTGTACCATGTAGCTCCTATGAAGTCAAATTGTGAATTGTTCTCAGGATCATTTCATGTGTAACACACACTGAACTTGATTGTAGATTCCTAAATAAATATATGCTTAAATAAAGGGATCACTGAATATTTATTAGTTTTAAGAGACCCATGTGTTCTGTTCAGAAAAACTGTGAGGCAGTTTGGAGAGATTTCTTTGCCTTTCAGTTGAAAGGTTCCTTTGGGGGGGCCTGTGCCACAATGTGGGGGAGATTTCGATGTACCCCCCAGAGCAGGATGCAGCCTCTCTGTCAACACAAGGGTACCTCCAAAGGTGGAGGAAGCCCATTAGGGGCGTGCACTGTTGCCAGGGTGGGCAGATCCCAGTGTCTGCTTTAGGAACAGTCTCTGGTGCACACTTGCGGCATCTACCACACACAGTCATAAGAAGGACTTCCTGGGTGTTCCTGGCCTGTTGGTTTGTGGTGTCCTTGCATTGTGCTCCCACACAGACAGCTGGCCTGTCCCCTCATGCTGGGGATCACATAGCCAGTAAAGGAGAAGCAGTTTCCTCTCCTTGGCCTGACTGAGCGCTGCGTGGAGGGCGCGTCATCTGTCTTCTTCATCACCTTACTAGGGTCTAGCATGGTGCCCGGCTCGGAGCAGAACTTATTTGCTCTGTTGGACTGAACCCTACCGCCGACTAAGCAGAGGAAGAAAAAGCAATCACGCCGACTGTGTCATCCATTGCAAAAGGTCAAGGAGAGAAGACAGGGAAGATGGGACCTCTCAGGTCCAGGCATATTCTGACTGGACAAAGAAAATTGCTCTTCTACTTCAATAAGGAAGTTAATGAGCTGGACTGTAGGGTCTTATAGGAAGGAAAGAAGATGGCTAGAGGAGGATAAAAATGAGGCAGCCAGATGGAGGTGGCACTACTAGTGACGTACGTGGCCTCTAGCACCCGCACCCACAACTTATACTTCTTCCTCCTGAAAAGTCGTAAGAGAAAGCCTATGCGATGGCCACCTGGGCCTGAGTGCATCAGACTGGCTCTGTAAGAGCTGGTGGAACGGGCCCACACTAGGTTGCCAGGGCGCTTTATCAATAAGAGAATTCAGGAAGGCCCAAGCCAGAGCGGGCCAAGTTCATCCATTGAGGGAGAGTGGAATTTTCAGACCTCCCTGAGGGACCTGGAGGTTCTTAATTATGAAGGCATATGTCTGACAATGTCTGGCTCAAGGATTGTGACTCATTTTTAGGAAAGGAAGAATGAATTTTTCAGCCTCTTAAGGGACAGGTCTCTCCGGGAATGGCTCCATGATTGGAGCCATTATCCCTCTTTTATTTCATTATTTTTAAAGATACCATGGGGGTTGCTTTGGAAATGACCGAGGGAGAAGCCAATCTGCTCAGATCACAAGCACTTGTAACCCCTGCGCTCCCTTCCTCGTTCCCAGCTCCCCTGGGAATATTTCTGCTCTGGTCCTAGAGGCACAACTTTTCTGCGCCCCTTTCCTCACTACCTCTCTGGCCTTTTTCTAAATCTACCACCTAACTAGCCACTGGGCTCCAGACCTTGATTTGCATGAACCTCTAGTGATGCACAAACCAGGGGCCTGGGGGCAGGGTTCATTATGTGGATGACAGAGCCATTATAACCATGGTAACCCCCTTATCCCAGGCCCCTGTAGCACCACAGGCCTAATTTACACCCAGCTTTTCCAGATTTGAAGGGTTCTGGGACCCAGTCAGGGCAGCTAGGAGCAGGGTCACCTAAGGAAACAGAGGGTGCACCTTGTCCGCCTCCAAGAAACAACCCCAAATCTCTCTCCAGTAAACCTGGATAATTACTCTTAAAAATATCCAAAAAAAAAAAAAAAGGAGAAAAAAGAAAGACACATTCTTTCCACACGTGTTTCTCACAGAGGGGAGCACAAAACGGGAGGACGTGCTGTTGATACCATCCGAACTTCAGAGTGGACAGGACCCAAAGGGTGGTGTCAGGACACACCACAGTGCTGTCACCCAGGGGGTGGCCCGGCCGGCGAATCCAGGTACAGCTCGTGAGTGTGAGGGTGTGACAGAGAGCTGCTTTGTAGAAATGGAAGGGTGTACCCAGCATCTTCCCCACGACAGAGTGCATTGGGGTATCGTGATGTCGCATTTAGTGAAGGACACTGGTTTTCTTTGTCTGGACAGGATGCTACAGCACACTTAATAGACAACCTGGAGACATGACTTTCCTATGCACCAGGGAACCCAACACTCTTGCGACTCACTTTATTGGGCTCTGAGACCCAACCCACAACCTCTGCCAGGTGTGTCTGGAGAACTTGAAATCTTCCAGCCCGTTACTCTTCCTTTTTTAAAAACGTAAGAAGCCATCATCTGTGTCCACACCCCTGCACCCTGCAACCTCTGTTGACTCTGGCAACAGAAAGCAAGCAAGCCCGCAGCTTCCCCAGGGGAGGTGAGTTACCTGTCTAGGCCTGGCCCGCCTCCGTGGGGGCGCCGTCGGAGTCTGAGTCGGCCAGGTCCGCCGTGCCTTCCGCTGCCGTCTGACTCCAGCTGTCCGACCTGTCCGAGACGGCATCTTCCTCGCCGACCGTCACCTCCACCCAGTCCACCACGCCCGACTCCTCGTTCTCCTCACTGCCCTGGCCGTCCCGGCTGTTGCCCTCTGACCTGTCCGAGGTGGCCTCCGAGGGCTTTGGGGGCACGCTATCCTGGGCTGGCTCGTTGCTGCTTTTCGCCCTGGGTACCAACTTCTCCGAGTCCATTTCACCGAGCTTTTTGGGGTCCTTGAAATATTGCTGACCCACATCATTCCCGTTCTTTGGGCTCTCAGTGACCACGGCTTTCGCCACTTTCCTTGAGGGGGCATCGTAGCCGTGATCCTCTGCCACGAGCTGCTGCTGGTACTGCTCCATCCATTTTAAGGTTCCAGTTTTTAGCAGGCATCTGTTCTCCTTGAACCAACGCACAATTTCAGTTCGAACCAGGCCAGTCTTGGCTGCTAACTGGTCATACTCCTGGGGCGTGGGCCACTGTGTTCTGGCAAATGTGCTTCTCAGCAGGTGAACCTGTTCTTGACTTTTTGTGATTGCTGGTGAAGGGCTGGGCAGAGAGCTGGCTAACTGGGCGCTGGACAGCTGGTCCAGGCGAGACAGAGCACCATTGGGGGCCACCAGATCTTGACCCTTTTTGCCAGATCCCATGGAATCCAAGACAGCTTGTTCCATGCTATCCCGAAGCTTCCTCCTCTCTGAGAACCAGGAGTCAATCTCTCTCCGGCTCAGCTTGGTTTCCAACCTTAGCCGATCCAGTTCTGCCTGGGTTGGAAAAGAGCTTTTCAAAAAGCTGTCTTCCAGGATTTTAACCTGACCCTGTGTTTTCCCTTTGAACTTCTGTGGGGCAAAGTCTGGGTACATGTGGTATGTGCGGCTGTGCTGGTCTTTGGCAATGGCCAGCTGGTCTTTGGCAAGGGATTCGCTGGTGATGTGCACGATGCCCCGCTGACAGCGATACCGGTGATCACTGAACCACTTCTTGATTTCGCTCCTGGCCAGGCCCGTCACCTCAATGAGCCGGTAGACCTCCGCGTCGTCAGGGAACTGGCTCTGGAGAAAACTCGCCTTGAGATGTGCTATTTGCTCCTTTGTCTTTTTGCGGTCACTGATGGGGGGCAGGGGGGGGTTAACCACCTTGGGTGGGGCCTCTGGCACCTGTGCAACATGTGGACGCTTGGGCTCCGGAGGGGCCACTTGAGGGGTCCCTGAAGGTCTCTTCTGGCCATGGTTGGTCATTCCAGCCACGGCGAGCGTGATGGGGGAGCAAGAGACGGTGGTTGACCCGCTCGTCACCTGAGTCAGCACCAGGCTGGTCTGGCCGAGGATCTGGCATGGCAGAGCTGTCTGGAGGACGGGCTGTGACATCTTGGTGGGGGCCAACTGGGCGGGCAGCACAGTGATCGTCGGGGGGACTGACTGGATAGTGCCATTGAACATCTTTTTCCGGGCCTCCTCCACCTCCTCCGGGGACCAGCTGATGCCGTGCTTTAAGCGCTGGGTGGCAAACCAGATTCTGATGTGCTCTTCGGGGTGTTTGGAAGCTGCGGTCAGCCAGGACAGCTCAGCCTGGGTGGGGTAAGGAAATTTGTTGAAGGAGTTGATCATGGTGGCATTTGTGTCCAGGGCAGAGTTGTATTTGGTAGTATTCAGAGGGACGGGGACCTTGGGGACAAGGTTGATATTTGGTGGGAGCTGCACAGAAGGCATGACATGCCCCAGTGTGTCCTGGAGGAGCTCTACGCCCGCGAGTCTGGAGAGGATCTCAGCCGCGTCTGTCACCAGGCGGGCAGTCCCGTCCACATGGTTCTCGGGGGTGGCCTCCTCGGGCTTCTTGGGCACCTTCTTGGCATCTGATTTCGGTTTCCCTGGCTTCATGATGGGGGTTTTGCTCACCGAGATCCCAGGATCACCATCACCACTTCCAGGGCCGCTGGGGGTGACAGACACATTGTGGTTGGTGGCTTCGATCGATTGCTCTAAGACAGTCTGATTATTGCGCTTGATTAACTTCAGCTTGAAGCTGGTCTCCCCGGGGTGGAACTTGGAGTTGTGGTCAGACAAGGAGTCGTACTTTTTGGTTGTGAAGTTACATTCGGCACAAACGTAGAGGGGGTTGAGGATCACGTTGGGGTGCTGCATGTCAACGTGTTCTGTGAACTCGTTCAGGTTTTGCGTGGAGTAAGGGCAGTATTTGCATTCATAACCACCTTGGAGTTTTTTGGATTGGGTTTCCCCTGTAGATTTCACCTCGATCACTTCATTTTCTTTGGAAGAGTTTTCCGGTTCCCCTGCCCAACTGTCCTTCGCTGTGTCAGGCGCTGGCACACTGATTCCTTTCTCTTTGGCCCTATCTCCTTCCTCGGCTACATCTTGTTCAACTACTTGTGATGTCCGAACCATGCATGGGGTTGTAGATTTTCTCTTGCTCGCCATGCTGCGTGTCTGGGTGCAATGGCTTATGATGAGGGGCAGGGAGGCGAAAGGGAAGAGGCAGTGAAATTTCTGGAATAAAAGACTTTTGGCTTTATTCCCCGTCCAAAGGCTTTGGCTTCCCGCGAATGCTGAAGTCCTGCGTTGGAGTTTTCAGAATGATTTCAGCACAGACAACTGTAACTGCTCCAAGGGCAGCATCATTCTGCGGGAAAGAACAAAGCATTAGTGTTTCTTCATGACACAAAATACTGGCGTTTCTTTTTGAGTTGCCCCCATGACCCATCTCAAGGGGTCCCCAGAGCAAATACCTAGGCGAGCACAGATGGCGTGAGAGCAGGTGCACACAAACACGAAAGACCACGACGTTCTTCCCTGGAGAGGGAACAGACCCAAAGCAAGTGAATGAGGATGCACATTCATGTTTGGGAACAAAAGGAGCCAGTGAACAGCCAAGGGCTGGGATCTTCTTCAGTGGCAGGGAGACACTGCAGATGAAGTGTTGCTAGACTTGAGAGCTGCTTTTATTTATGGCCCATCAGAAGCAAGGGGCTTACCTGGGGCTGCCAAGCTGAGTTTACATGGGCATTAAAAAAAAGGTTTATGTTTGGTTTCTTGTCATAAAGGCAAAATCACTATGCTATAGACAATCTAGAAGATGCATCAAAATATAAAGGAGGGGAAAAAATCCAAGTTCACTTGACAGCTCCCATTTTCAAAATTTTGAACAAAATAATGATTCTGAAAATGGTGGCATAAGATCACACTGTAGGGATACACCATGGATATTGGGTTTAGCCATTTGACTTTGCTGGTCATTTATTTCTAAGTTTTGGCTCTTATCAACAAAATTATTTCTAATTTTTGGCTCTTATCAACAAAATCAGCCAATACCCTGAGTCCTTATTTTGATAACGGCCTTTGGGTAAATGCTTAGACATGAAAGCACCGGACCAAAGAATACCAGCATTTAAAATTCTCTTGACTCAGATGGCCAAATTCTGGCATCTATTGCCTTTTCTCCTGTCTGTGAATGAGAATCTGCCTCACCACTTAGCCTACATGAAATATGACTACCAAAAAGCCTTGCTAGTTAGGCAGGGGAGAAATGTTTTAATATGTGCTTCTTGGTTGCCAATAAGGCTGAATCAATTTAAAAGCTTTACTTGCCATGTATATTTTTTCTTTGTGAATTGACTGTTTATGCCATTACTGTACTGCTCTGTGTTATTTTCATCAATTTGCGAGAGCTCTCTATTAAGAATATTAGTACTTTATTATATTTGTTGCAAAGTTTTTCTAATCCGTCATTTACCTTATAGCTTGGTCCATGGTGTAGACATTTTAAATGTAGACATTTTAAACTTGAGGCAGATTTATCAATTTGTTTCTTTCGTGGCTTCTTTTGTTATGTTTTATATTTAGACAGTGATTTTCTGTCTTGATAGCTGAAATGTTACTGTTTTCTTAAAGTGTTTAGTTTTATTTTTTACATTTGATTCATCTGGACTTGAACCGGGGTTCAACTGTACAAGACAACCCTGTTTTTCTTGAAAGTTACCAACGATCTCAGCAGGCATTGTGTATCTTTTTGAATTTGTGAAACCACCTTTATCATACACTAAATGTTGACATATGCAAGGGTGGTTTCTGGGGCTATCTAATCTGTGCTTCTTATCTAACTAGTGAGCTCAATTTCCTTTTGCAGCTAAGAACATGTCTTAAAATCTTGTAGTGAGTTCCTCCTTATCCCTCTTGTGCATTCTGCAAAGGTTCTGGGTTATTTTGAGCAACTATACACAGAAGTCAATTTTCGTGAATCAGAATCATCTGTCACATAAAATCGGTTAGGCTATTGATTGGAATAGCATTAAACAAAGATTAATCTTGGAGGAGGGCAATGATTTGCTTGTTAGGAAGTAGGGTATGTGAGCAGAACCTAACCTGGGGAACTGGACTGGAACATGTTGAACCTCTAAATGATGGGTTTTATGGCTAAAGGAAGTTTTATGGCTAAAGGAAGTGGGAACAGAGTTTTGAAATAAGATAGCTGATGTCAGGGAGAGAAGGAAAATGGAGGAGGTGGCACTTCCTAGCCTTCCACTGTCCTGGATTTGAGTCCCACTGAAGAGAGGGCTCAGGGCAGAAGTGAAGGAATTATTTTCATAAGCAACACTGGGCCCACCCCCCTCTGCTTAGGGGCTCAGGTGACAAACCTAAGCAGGACTCAGGAGAGGCGCCTTCTCCATTGTGAGCCTAGAACCTGGCCACCATAAGGCTGGAGCACCCAAGGCTGGAGCACTGGCATTTTCATGCTGGGCAACCTCCTCAGTGGTGGGTGGGGGGCCCTCAGGGGCGCTGGTGAGGAGAGGACACAGCCACAGCAGAGCAGAGGGGAACCATGTCATTTTGCTGACCAGCCCACATAGACAACCTTTAGGCTCTGCGGCCTTGCTGGCCATCAGACTTTTGGTTTTGCCCCTCAAACATGTGTCACCCCCCTTCAGAGTTCTTTAGTTCCACCACTGGCTCAACCACTGCTCACTTACGCCAAAGGTTTCTTTGCCTCCCCCCACATATCTAATCCATCAGCAGTCCCGTTGAGTCTACCTGAGAAATAAATCCAGCACTAGCCCAGTTTGCCCCTCCTCCGCCCTGTCTTGTCTCAGCCACCATCGCCTCCTGCTGAAGCCCAAGCAGCCTCCCTGGCTCTCCTGCTTCCTTCCTGCTCCATGTTTTCAGACAGGAATCGGGGCCTGTCACCTTCCCGCATGAGGCTCAGCCTCGGCTCCCCAGGTCCCCATGACAGCCTGCAGACCCCGCACGCCCTGGCCCAGGCCTCCGTCCCCTCTGCTCCTCACACGTCCTGGCTGGGGCACAGGTGCTTCGCTTTCTGCATGTGGCCTCGGCCTGAGCTTCCCACCGAGTTCCTCAGGGCTCCCCCACTCCTTGGAGTCACCCCTCCCACAGAGGGGCCCTTCCTGACCCCCATCCCATCAAGACGGATGTTTCTCCCATCTCTCCTTCCTCCCCCTGCTTTGCTTTCCTCACAGCACTTTTCGATAGTTATGTCCCTATCTTTTGAGCTTGAAGGACTGTTACCTATTTTGTGACTGGTTTCTCCTCCAGAACGGTGCTCCCCAGATGCCACTAGCCACATAGGACTCTACGTTTTAATTCACTAAATAACCAGGTCCTCAGCCAAACTAGCCATACGTCAAGTCCCCGAGAGCCACACGTGGCTGGTGGCTATTGTATTAAACAGCAAAGAACATTTCTATCATCAAAGGACGTTCTCCTGGGCAGTGTGTTGCTCTAGAATATAATTTCATAAAGGCAGAAACTATTCACCGTGGTTTCTCCAGAGCCCAGACAGTGCCTGGCCCACAGTATTGGGTGCATAGTAGGTTCCCTGCAGAGTGGCTGCTTCCTGCGACCCGCCCCTGCTGCTGAGCCACAAGCTCAGTAACGTGCAGGCATGAATGTGTGCGTGCTGCGTGTCTCCGTGTGCCCATATGCATGTGTTGAGGCGTGCATGGGTGAGTGGGGAACTCTAAGGGGAGCTGGGTTCTAATAATCCATAGGGGAGATGATTGTCACAGCAGAATGAGGCTGAATTGGCGGCTGGTGAAGAGATTCAGGCATTTGAATTATAATGTTTAGGAATGGAAAGACAAAGGAGTCTTTTTTTCTTGCAGAATAAAGAAATCAGGCAGGAATGGGTATATAGGGGAGAAGAAACCTTTCTTACAGAAACTTCCGTATCAAAAATTATTTAACAAGTGAGGCCACGGAATGAGCCTCGGCAGGGTGAGACATCCTAAAAGCTTCTTAATGTTCTAGAAATGGTGTTTCAGAATAAATAGTGTCTTCTAACACCTATTGGGCAGAGTAGGATCCTGCGGTCAAGAAAGGGGGGGGGGAGGTGGTGACTCCAGCTGGAAAAACCGAATGGTGTTTCCAGGCCCAGGAGACAGCAAGAGCAAGGACATGCCTGAGGAATGACAGGACTGAGGTCAAAGGGCAGGGCATGAGGACTGAGTTGGCAGGAGGCTGATGAGTCCTGTTGGGGCTGCACGTGAGGAGACTTGAATACCACACTGAGGAGTTGGGATTTTTCTCTGTAGGCAAGTGAGTACGTGTCAGTCTTTTGGACAGGGTCATAGAGGCAGCAGGGGCCTCGAGATAAATTGGGGGGTGCAGCTGGCAGGAAGAGAAGTCACCTTAATGAAGGTGAGACTCCCCAAACCAAGCAGATGAACACAATCTTACCAAACCCCAAATTAAACAGCCAGGGGCCCAGGCTTCTGAGAGGTAGTCTTTTTTCCCATCTTCCAAGCTTGTCCTTTAAGGAGGTGTTGAAGTTCAGTTCGGACTTCCCCCCCAAGACAGGAGTGGAGGCTTCATTTCTAATGCGGCACAACCAATGGTCCCTAAACCATTTGCTCAATAAAAAGGGCGGGCTGTGTTTTACGTCTCAGAAAACTTATGTAGATTTTGAGGCTCAGAGAGGTTAAGGAACTTGGCCAAAGTCACACAGCCACGGGTGAGTACAGCTGGGATACAAATTTTCCCGTGCAGAGAAATCGCCTGGGGCTCTTGTTAAAATACAGATTTGGATTCTGTAAGTCTGCATTTCTAACAAGCTCCCAGGTGAGGCGAGTGGGACCAAGACGGACCACACCTGGAGTAACAAGGCTCTCTAAGCTTCCCCAAGCAAGCACTTCCCCCCTGTCATCTCTTGGGTTTCCCTTTTGCCCAGACTCCTTTAGAGAGACAGGAAGGAAGCATTTCCTGACCTTTCCTACACATGGCCTGCGGCCCTCAGGGGAAGGAAAAATGGGTCAAGCTGTCAGATCAGCCTCTGGAAGCTCTTCTCGTGGTGATGACACCCAGCCCGGCTGTCAGAGGAGAGACAAGCCTGTGTCTCCAGGCTCTCCAGCCTGAGGGGTTCAGGGGCCCTCTTGGGTGTTGTCGTAAGCTCCCGGGGCGCGCACATGATCCCCTCTCAGGGAATCTCACCTTTGGACTTTGGCAGAGACGCCACTTCTCATCTCAGAGCTTTTCACGGCGGCTGTCAGAGGGAATAACAGGACTGTCTCGGCGCTTTCAAAGGAAGCATCTTGTCAAGACATCAAAGCCCCAAAGGTTGCTTTTAGCTTTGCTGGGTCTTCTGACAGAGCCGTTAACAGATTCTGCCTTAGT